GGACAATGTAAAGCTTTGTATGTTATTTTTAAAAATAATCCAGACAAGAAGAAATTAAAGCATGGAGACATTTTATCCGTGACGTTAAAGACGTCTGACTTCTATCCTAGCAGTGACAACAAACACTGTCCAACACTTTCGGTGTCACTGTGCGACTCTGTGTCCACTCTCACACACACACACACACAGACGCACACACACACCTCTGTGACAGTGATAATAAAGCCATGTACGCTGTGTTTCTGCCGGTAGCTGTTCCTTCTTGTTGCCTGGCAACTGATGATGATTGCGCCTGTGAAGTGTCCTTCTAAGGGCCATTATGAGACACAGACACACGCGGACACACACACACACACACACACACACACTAAGTGAAGGGGAACAGATGTGTTTGTGTTTTCTGTCATTGTTCTCTCTCTTTCATCCATTCATGTCTCTTTATTCACCTCGCTCTTCATCTTTGTCCGTCGTTCTTTCATCATTTCTTCTCGTCTCCTCCTTTCTGCCCTAAACTCTGTTGTTTTTATTTATTCATATTCATATTCTGTACTTCTCCGACTTAAATCACTCTACCAACAGAAACTGGAATACTTCCCGTACTAGCCTACAATTCAGACCTTCTCAGAAACACATCAAATGAAAGTCCATACGAGAAGCTAAGAGAGAGAAGACTGTCCTGGGCGATGAACGAATTCAAGAAAATATTAGAAATGAGTTCATACTCTAATAGAACATGGAGAGTACTTACATACACACACACACACACACACACACACACACACAGCTATATAAATGTATCTGCTGCTGATGTCACTACATAATGGTGCTCATACACACACACACACACACACACACACAGGTTTATAAATGGCATCATTGCAGCATATCCTGTCGTCATGGTGACGGCCATCTCGCATCCTTAAAAGGCGTTCTCAAAGTGCTGTAAGGTGTTCAATCTGTTCCAGTGCAGTTTTTATTGTAACACACAAACCACCAACACACGGACCGATGAGAGGAGAGGTAGAGCAGCAGCTCCTGCGTGTTCTGAGACAGAAAATGACTTTAAGGAGACCCACCAATCAGCTGGTTCTGCATCTTCTTCTTTAACAAAAAGCTCCGTCTCTGCAGGGACGCTTTCTGAAATGTTTCTTTCTAAACTACAAAGATGTTGAAGATGTGAGAGAGCCTACATGTGACACCAGGTGTGTTCCTACAGTCTGTGGATATGACAGCACCCCACACACCGATAGATTCATTCAACAACAACCAGAGTCCTGACACTGAAAGCTGGAAATCTCATGAACTCTATCGTGGTCAAAGGTGACTTTGAGGATCTTCAGTGGTCTAACAAGTCAACTCAGCTATGATTAACCTACAAAACAATTTAATACCTTCATGTGTTGCATCTTAAATTTTCTTTTATTTTATCTGTCTCTGCTCTTCCCCTCGCTGTGTGACAAAGATTTATTTCTCCTCCTCTCTCGCATCGTGACTTCTCTATTTTATTCTTCCTTTGTCTTATTGTTTTCTTCTCTTCTGAATTAGAGTAGAGTTCAGGTCTGCAGGACTTTCAGACATGCTGAACAGTTTCACCCCAACAAGGACGACACAATCGGATCACGTGTTCACATGAATCTTGATCCAAACAACAATTGGCATTAACCAGCCATCTTGTATCGAGTTAAACATCCTTCAGAAGGAGCCGGATCAGATCAGTCTCTCCTGATTGACGGGTCTTTATTCTGATCAGGCTTTTATTAAAATAACTTGTGTCCTTGTAAGCACAGCTAGCGCAGACAAGCTGGCACATACTGTACTCTCCTAACAGAACTGAACAACAGGCCAATCAAATGGATTGCAACCTTAATATAACAGGACATCACACATCGCCTTAACATCCACCTCAGACAACTTCCCTCAGGACGGAGGTACAGAGGACTGAGGGGCAGAGGACGGAGGAGCAGAGGATGGAGGGGTAGAGGACGGAGGGGTAGAGGACTGAGGGGTAGAGGACAGAGGGGTAGAGGACTGAGGGGTAGAGGACGGAGGGGCAGAGGACGGAGGGGCAGAGGATGGAGGGGTAGAGGACTGAGGGGTAGAGGACTGAGGGGTAGAGGATGGAGGGGTAGAGGACTGAGGGGTAGAGGACTGAGGGGCAGAGGATGGAGGGGCAGAGGATGGAGGGGTAGAGGACTGAGGGTAGAGGACTGAGGGGTAGAGGATGGAGGGGTAGAGGACTGAGGGTAGAGGACTGAGGGGCAGAGGACTGAGGGGTAGAGGACTGAGGGTAGAGGACGGAGGGGTAGAGGACTGAGGGGTAGAGGACGGAGGGGTAGAGGACGGAGGGGTAGAGGACTGAGGGGTAGAGGACGGAGGTGTAGAGGACTGAGGGGTAGAGGACGGAGGGGTAGAGGACTGAGGGGTAGAGGACGGAGGGGTAGAGGACGGAGGGGTAGAGGACGGAGGGGTAGAGGACTGAGGGGTAGAGGACGGAGGGGTAGAGGACTGAGGGTAGAGGACGGAGGGGTAGAGGACTGAGGGGTAGAGGACGGAGGGGTAGAGGACTGAGGGGTAGAGGACGGAGGGGTAGAGGACTGAGGGGTAGAGGACTGAGGGGTAGAGGACTGAGGGGTAGAGGACTGAGGGGTAGAGGACGGAGGGGTAGAGGACTGAGGGGTAGAGGACGGAGGTGTAGAGGACGGAGGGGTAGAGGACGGAGGTGTAGAGGACTGAGGGGTAGAGGATGGAGGGGTAGAGGACTGAGGGGTAGAGGACGGAGGTGTAGAGGACGGAGGTGTAGAGGACGGCGGGGTAGAGGATGGAGGGGTAGAGGACTGAGGGGTAGAGGATGGAGGGGTAGAGGACTGAGGGGTAGAGGACGGAGGTGTAGAGGACTGAGGGGTAGAGGACGGAGGGGTAGAGGACTGAGGGGTAGAGGACTGAGGGGTAGAGGATGGAGGGGTAGAGGACTGGGGGGAAGTCAAAGTCTCTTAAGAAGGAGGTTTGTTACTGTGTTCAGGAGTCATAGCAGGAGGAGCACTAATAAGAGTAACGAGCCAGCATGAAGTGGAGCTGGCTGATCTAAATGCAGCAGGTATCGATCGTATGGAGTCCACCTGTGCCGCTCCAGCTGAGACGTGTCAGCTGAGAAAAAGCATCTATTTGTGGTCTTTTTATGCTGAATATGTCCACGGGGTTTCAGTCAGAAAATACCTGAACATTTCATTTCTTTTTTTTTTCTGGCGTTTTGGGACTTAGAAGCCAACTCTACAGTGGTCATCATCTCCTTTTCCAATCACGGGTTATCTCGCGTTTTTTCAACATCTGTTCAGGTTTTTAAAATGATTTGATTGGGCCAAGATTAAGCGGTGATCTCTTTTGGCTGTTGTAAGTATAACTGTAGTAAAGATGGCGGTCTGGTGTAATAAACGGTGATAATAACTGTTCAGGGTGGCAACAGGGAGCGACTCATCATGTCAAACAAACATTGAAGACCTGAGTTTAAAAAAAGGGGAGGAAAGTAAGAGAGGAGAAGGAGGACGAGCAGGGTCAGGTGATCAGGCTGTCAAACATGATGGCCCTTCACCCCCCCCCCCCTCTCGCTTTCTCTCTCACCTACTCCACTTGTCAGCTGTAGTCTCTCACCCCTCTTCCTTATAAGTGTCCCCCCTCTCTCTCTTTCTCTGCCTTTCAATAATATCCTCAACAACACACTTCATAGATACATCTTTATGCATGTGTTTTGTGTGTGTGTGTTCATGTGTGTGTGTGCTGTCACCATAGCAGCAGCACTAGTCTTGTTGTCATGGCACCCAAAACGCAAGGCTGATCCCTTTTCTCCTTCTCCTTCTGCTTCTCCTTCTCTTCGATTCAACATGTTCTCTATTAAATCTATTATCCTAAATATTAACCTGCAGCTCCTTTGCTTCCCTGCAAGGCATTCTGGGGACTGTAGTAAACACACTATATTGTTCATGTTGGCATCAACAAGCTAACAAGCCTGCTAGTAAGCTTGTCATGAGCTGCAGAAATATGCTTTATCGGGGCGCTGGTGGCGTAGTGGTTTGTGCGCGCGTCCCATGTATGGAAGCTGTAGTCTTCCAAGCAGGCTTTCAAATCCGACCTGTGGCTCCTTTCCCGCATGTCGTTCCCCACTCTCTCTCTCCCCCATTTCTGACTCTATCCACTTTCCTGTCACAAAAAGCCAAAAAATAAACTTAAAAAAAAAAAAAAGAAATATGCTTTATGGATTTAGAAGAAATTAATGCCTCACGAGACCATTTCTCCTATTTATATGTTTTGTGTGTGTGTTTTGTGTGTGTGTGTGTGTGTGTGTGTGTGTGTGTGTGTGTGTGTGTGTGTGTGTGTGTGCGTGTGCGGTCGATAGCAGACTCAGCAGTAACTCTGCAGTTGGTCGTTGTGTTGCTCGTTTCAGCGTGTCTGCATCGATTGTTAACAGTGAAATGCACATTTACCTTTCTGTGGGTTCACTCCTGTGTGTGTGTGTGTGTGTGTGTGTGTGAGCGTGTGTGTGCTCATGTATCCCACTATCCTTGTGAGGACCAATCTGAGTATTTAAACATGATGAATGTGTTTTTAAATGATTCTGTCGTTCTCCTCCTGATGGAAATCAGAATGATTGATTCGTCAGCTGATCAGTCAAGGCTCCTCGTTTCTCCTCTTCCTCTCTTAAATTAAATCGTGGTTAATTGGCAAAGCTGTCATTAAAGGGAAGGCTCACATATTTTAAAGTCCTATACCAAAGCAATACTCACTCACGCGCACATATGTGTACATTCAACGTGTTATTGGAGCCCATTTCTGTCCCTCCTGTTTTTACTGGCAGCCAAGATATCGAGCGACGCCAAAACAAAGTGACGAGGGATAACATCCAAAATCCTGCATTGTTCCTTTTTTGTGTGTGCGAATGTTTAACCAGACTTTTAACCACACGGACGGTCTGAATCGTCTGACTGTTCTCTGTGTGTGTTTTCCTTCAGATCCCAGAGTGTGTGTTCTACGGCATGTATGAGAAGATCCTACTGTTTCGTCATGACCAGACGTCGGAGAACGTGCTGCAGCTGCTCCGCTCGGCCTCTCAGATCCAGGAGGGAGACCTGGTGGAGGCTGTGCTGTCAGGTGAGACGGGTCGGAGGATGACATAACAGGTGGGATGATGACAGTACACATGCAGCACCTGAATCGGTTCTGAACGCTGAGTAGATATCCGTCAGTCATTCTTTCAGAGGATCAGACGTGGTCTCACATGTATTGGGTCAGGTGTGTTACATCTCTGACAAAAACAGGTGTGGTCTAGTCCAAAGGATCTGGGTACAAAATCCTTACTTTCATTAAGGTTTGGATCTGTCTGATGGACCTTTGAAGAGCTAAAGCCTGCAAACATCGTCCATTTTTCTTCATCCGTTTTCCCTACAAACCTGAGAATCGACCTCCTCTCTCTTTCTTGTTACCCTCAGGGTCGGAAAGTAGCAAATGCCACCCGCCACATGTGGCTGCTTTTGTGCAGTGTCGGGTAGATTTGCTCAACCTAACGGCCACAGTGGCGGGTAAATAAAAAGTGACATAACAGAGCGACCTGTGACAGAAAAAAACGGTCTTCTGCTCTTTCCTCTCTGATCTTATGAGCATGGCCAGGTGGTCCTTGACGCCCACTGACCACAGGGCTCCGCCTCCTCCTCGTGTCAGAGTGGGTGTCGGTGTTTACAATGATCGGCTATCTGCTGACATGGCTTGGCTTGATTGCACTTGAAAAGAACGGATGAGCATCTCCATTACAGCGGGTCTACATCCTGTAGGTGTGTTTAAACTGACATCTCGCCATCTTAAGTCCATCATGATCAAAAGAAGCGAGTTGTGGCGGTGACTCGTGGTCAAAGGAGCGGCTGAAATTACTGCAACTTCCTACAAAAAAAAACCCCACTAAATGTACCTCCGCTGTAGCTCAGTTGATTTGTAGATAAACACGTTCATTTTCCAACATGTTCTTCACAGTAAAAGTTTTCAGTGTATATATCTTTGTAGTGCTTTTATTGTGAAACAGCCACATCAGGAAATAGTTTTCAGCAGCAACTTCACTCAGACGTCTGAAATTACAAACACAGACAAATGAAACTTAACCTCACAGATTTGGTTAGAATCTACAACGTCCTGCAAAGCGTGCTTTTCTGCAAAAAATCTAGAGTTAGACGTTTAGGTGATTTGGAAGGTGTGACTGATCCTGCAGGAGGAAGGAAACAAAAGCTGACACCCCTGACGAAGCGAGCAGCAGGTCTGTTAAAAGTCTAAAAATAAAATGATTGTGAAAAAAACAGCTGTTTGACGATGGCTCACGCTGCTCTCTCCTCCTGGATGATGCTTTTTAAAAGCCAACAAATCTCTACAACTTAAGTTTAAAGGTCAAGGTGAACCTTTCAACGTCTACATTTTAGTTTTTATTTGAATTAATTTAATTATTTCTGTTATTTCTTTGTATTTTTGGGTCATTTTAGTGTTCAGCTTTATGAAGATTAATCTGATTTTATTACCACTGAAGGGAGTTCAAGTGTGAATGAAACAAAAACACAGTCACATAAATTAAAGAAGCAGATATGTTTTAAGATATTTTAAGGTCACATATTCTCACCATGTTTCTCTAACACTAATATGTGTGTCTAGTCCGTCTACAAACCCCCAATGATGAGAAAAGTCCATTCTCTCCGTCTTTTGCCTGCTCCACTTTTCAGAAAATTTGTGCTCAAACAGGCCGTTTGGAGATTTCCCTTCATGACATCACAAAGGGCAGTAACCCCTCCCCCAGGTGGGTGACACTCCCACAGCTAGGTGTTTGTTCTGCCCTCTGAGTCTGCCTTCTCACTGTAAACAATAGGACATGGAGAGAGAAAGCCCGAGACACACAAGCCCTTTCAGAGAGGGGGCGTGGTCAGACACAGCTCATTTACATATTTAAAGCTACAGACACAGAAACAGCCTGTTTGATGACGGTGTGATGACTGTTGTTTCTTGTAGCCAATGAGATTCTGGACATGTGAATATGCTGCCTCTATCACTAACTTACATCCTGACAGCAGGGACAGCGGACGGCGACTGTCTGGCTATTATTTGTGCTTGGAGTCCAAACGGTTCGAGAACATTGTGAACTTTTGTCACTATATGTCTGAATGTGAATTTTTAGGCAGATTCAATGGATTCACAAAGATGAGATTTAAGTAATTTTCATAACGTGGGACACCGGTCAGAGTCCGGTCAGAAAAATTTAAAAATAGCAACACGTTTGTGGAACAATTCAAAGACGAGAAAACCAGCAAATAGTTATTCATTATTTCAGCATTGCAAAGTAACAGACTACTCCTTTATTCAGCAATTTTCTCTAAGTTTTTACATGAACATGACTTAAACCTGGAGCAGAACAGAGACACATGATAACAGGTGAACCACCCTGAGTGTGAATATTTAACTTCTTCCAATAAAGTGCACGTGCAAGTGACTAAAACATGTGTGCAATTATTTAAAGGGTTGCACAAAATAGCCTGTGAATTATTAAATTGCATGCTTGTTTTAGTTAGAACAAAACCCACGCACACTTGATAGTGGGTTCCTGAAACAGGTACAGCGTGTGTTTAAAAACAAACAAACAAACATGTCCCCTCCAGGACTCCGTACATGTCAGAGTTTATTCCACACCGGTAAAAATCTGTTCTAGTTTTATTGAGCAGCCCACAGATCAGTCCGGTCCAGAGTTCAACCACAGAACAAAACATTAAGACAGAAATCCGCTCCAGGTTGTACTGACTCTCCAAACCAAACCCGAACCAGAAAACTGTGCACGAACCAAGCGGCAACCTTGGGTCTTGAAAAATGAAGCCAATGTGGAAGTACAAAAAACTGCAGTTCCTCGATTGTCTGCTTGAGGCTGGCTGCAGATGCACCGGAAGTGCCATAAGCCCACAGCCAAAAGATCCAGTTTTTACCACAGGAATTAACATGTTTACAGCCTGGTTCAAAAAATGAAATAGATCTGATTAGTTAGTGACCTCCCACTCTGGGGGGAGTTTTTTAATAATTCATCAGATTTAATTTTATTAAGGAAAACGGTTATGTGCGCTGCAGGTCAGGAGGCTAGGTAGCAGCTTGATCCGTCGGCTTTCTCGTCTTTTTTTCTTCGTTTGGAGAGTTTGTTTAACACATATCTGACAACATACATGGCTTGCTGTGCGGTTAACAGACCATCCAACAAGTTGATGCTTCAGTTTTTTTCGGTAAGTGATATAGTAGTGTTATATTTACTGCATACTCATGTGTCGGTATTTATATTTATGGGGCTAGCTTGTTTAACATTAGCTTGTAAACCAGCCAGCTAACTATACTCAGTGTAGCCCATTATTTACGGTCAATGGTTTAGCCGATCAAGACTAATGCTAATGTTAACATATCTAGCCAGCACTTGAAACTCGGGAAAAAGTCATTCTGAATTGTTAGAAATGTTTGTTGTTAAGATGTTGAAAAGAATGAGTTTGTGTGATGTTAGAAGCTAAAGGTTCAGCTCTGTGGTTATCTGACGTTATGATGAATGTTATACTCCACGTAAATGTTGACATTAAAAAACAAACTTTGTGTAGTAATTATCCGTCAGTAACATAAACTGAACTCAACTGAACCTAATATGCTGTGTAGGTTATAGAGGGTGACATCAATGTTTCATGGTTGATGTAGTGTCTGCAAATGGTTACCAAATTAAAAATAGTTTTTACTTTGTATGAGTTCAGGAAAATGTAATCTGGTTATTAATATAGTTCTTAATCGTTACAGATGCTCTTACAAAGACTATAGCAGTAGAAATCTAAAATATAAATAACATATGGAATGAAAATAAGATATAAAGCAGTAAGTACAAGAAATAGTTTGAAGAATACAGCCAGGTACCGAGTTCATGTTAATAACAAATTAGTTACTGTATGTTCTGTATAGAGCACAGAGAGTTGGGACCTGTTAATGATTTAAATAATTCAGGTAATATTTGTTTCATGTTAAGATGAAGTACTATCCACAATAAACTGCTCAATTTTTCCTCCAAAATCTGAGGCAGTTTGATGTGGAATATCATTATGCAAGTGAGTGAGAGAGCTGAAAATAGCATGATAACAATAAGGTTTATCTTCTTAACTTTGAATAGATGTTGATTACCTGAATACTGTACCTTTGTTGTCTGGGTAGTACACTGTTGAATTTATAAATGTACTCTTACACACACATGAATACAGAAAATGCACAAACAAATTGGTTTAATGAATAACTGCTATTTTCTCTCTTTCTTAGCCATCCTGAAGACCCCGCACTAAAAGTCAATTTTCTCCTGGATCCATGTCACATGCTCGAGCTTCTTCAGAATTACTTTTCAACAGTCGAAGTTCTGGTGAGAGAAGATGGCCAGCAGATAAGACAGCAGTACATCAAGGAGCTCCACAAGCTTCAGGAGAAGGAGGAGGGTTTGCACCTTGAAAGACTGTATTCATGCTTCAGCTGTTCAAATAGAAATAGATCTCCTCCAAACAACTTGCAATCAAACCATTTTCTTCCCATTTTAAAACCCTTTGTCCAGTTTAGATGGGAGAAATTGATATTATGTGATGTTGATCTGGGAAGACTACATTTCTAAATCATTTTTAACTGTGTTTTTATTCAGTTATTAATTATTCAAGTTATTGATCTTATTTACTCTCCATGTATCTTGATTTAAGAATGGGGCTGTGTTTAAGGTCATGTTTTGCAATGACTCTGTTCCGTCCCACTTTCAGAAATGAACTACATTAGTATTTGGTAAAAAAAAAATGTCAAAAGAATAAAAAGTGTAAAAGTAGACTTCCTTCCCTTAGCTATTGAGTTGAGCATTAATGCACATTTTAGTCTTGTCATTTCAAATCTAAAAGGTATCCTCATAAGTAGACATAAAGGAGTGCATTTATATAGAAATATTTATTTAATCTGAAAAACTACATTCAAAAAGCTTGTTTTTACAGCAGAGATTAACATGTTTACAGCTTGGTACAAAAAAAACACATAGCTCTGATTAACTCATGTCTCGATCGACACACACTGTACAGGGGTCGTTTTGATTTGATGAA